GAGGGGGAAGTGAGGTTCAAGGGTGACGTAGGTCCCTCTCCCCTCCCAAGTCCATGTTCCAAGTGGCTATGTAAAGCAAGATGATGCAGAAAGCCGCTCTAAATTTCACTGCGTGATTTCACCTTCGCCTACTATGAAATGTCTCATCAGTTTAATATGTCTGAGATAACCAAGGTGATTCAGAATTTGACCGAAAGAAGTCTAGTGAGAATTAATTACATAGAAGCCTCGTTTCATTTCTATGGGCCAAAGGCCATGGATAACCCTACCTGCTTTGTGTCATTACCCATTGGGAAACACAATGGCTACTTCTGTTAGGGGACATGGACCTTGGTCAAGCTTCTTAAAGATTTAAGGCAGCCCTAATTGAGGGCTGTCTTGGCTAATGCTAATACTCTACACCACAATTGTGATGTCCTAGTCCTACCACTAGAGGGCAAAAGTAAAAAGGCAAAAGTAAAAAGGGGCGTGGCAGCTCCCATCGGATCTGGAAGTGGTCTCTAAGTGCGGTGGACAGTTGTGCATTGGAATGGGTGGAGAAAGAGAAGAAGAGAGCAGAGAATCTGCTGATGTGGCTGCGCTTACTTTTAGGGATTTTATGTACTTATATTAACAGCTGGAAATAGGTTGTTGGGTTTCGAGCAGGCTGTTATGGTGAGGAATGTTCATTTTTAAATGTTCCCAACAGATTTTGCTTTGGAGAAATGCTTGTTACATGAATAATTTGTTGACCAGGGATTGTTTTTCTGAAGGCAGTATGGGGGACATGAATATTCAAGATGAAATGCAAAAATTATGTTCAAGGGTCACAGTGTATAAGTAGCTTCCTAGGAGACCCTTTGTGTATCTTTTCAGACTGGGGTGGGGGCTGAGCATGCTTGTGCAGAAAGAAGCCATGGCCAGAAAGGACAGAATCTCTCCCCCACTCCCTTGCCCTATAACCAAACATAAGCTAGCTAGTCTTGTCTAATAGATGGGATTGACTATAGGTGAAAATAGCCCTCATATTCAAGGACAGAAGCTCTGGCAGGAGTAAATTAGCAAAGCAGAAATAGTACCCTTTCATTCTTGGAGGTGCTTTGAAACTTTAGGTAGAATAAAGATATGATCGAAATTATGGAGATTCCTTGGTGCCCAATAACATAAGACCCGGTGTTATTAGAACGAGTCTTTCTTATAAACTAACAGAGCAGGTATTTGCCCATTAGATCTTAGCTGTGGGGATCCTTACTACTGGGTGAACCATTAGGTATAAAAAGTAATCATCAACCAGGCAAATTACTTTGCTTCCTAGCTGATGTCATCCCACATTGGTACAGGTGTTATACAGCTCTGGCTGGTTCTGCAGGGAAGCCGGGTGGGACCAGTGTGTCTGTCATGAAACCACTAACTGCATTGCTGACTGAAGAGCCCTCTGTCGTTTATTGAGGAAGGTCTTCAGTTGAGCTCTCAGCCTTAGGAAGGAAGCACGTGGAGGAGGGAGGAAGGAGGCGCCCTCGCTGGGCATGCTCCGTGGAGGGCCAGGAGTGGCAGGTCATGTGCACGTGCCGTTGCAGCACAAGCTTATGCTTCCCGTAGCCGTGGCGCTTCATTCTGCACAGTCCCAGGTCCCAGGTCCCAGCTCCCCCTCTTATGGTTTCTGTCATAATGTGCTTTATCTGATTGACTCCAAACATGCCCAAATGTCACCTGCAGATTTCTCGTGGGAACCAATATGTACATGTTTGCAATTATGTTGTGAGAATTTAAATGTGTTAGATGGAAAATGCTATTGGCAGGGAATAATAAAAAAAAAAAAAAGAGAAGAAAATCATTCTGTTTCCTGCAGTGGGAACTGCCCATGTAGTCTTAACAGTCTTTTGTACAAATATCTACAAAGCAGATAATATCCCTATCCAGTGCTTGCCCTTGGAATTGTCTCTAAATGCATCAAGCATACAATAAAAAAAAAAACTGAAATTAACATCCAGGGGAGTGGCCTCTTCTGTTTTGTGTCTGGTAAATAAATGTGGGCCTCAGTCACAACATAGAAGATGTATGAGAAGAGATATATTTTTCTGGCTGGAATATTCAGTAAACAGTCAGTTCAGCAGTTTCTTGCATTATGTAATGTTCTGTGGGTAAATTCAGTCTTTAAATATAAAACCACAACGAAGTATCACCTCACACCCATCAGGATAGCTACTATCAAAAACAACAACAACAACAACAAAAAAAAACCACAACCAGAAAATAACAAATGTGGGTGAGGATGTGGAGAAATTGGAACCCTTATGCACTGTTGGTGGGAATGTAAAACAGTGCATCCATCATGGGAAACAGTAAGGAGTTGCTCAAAAAATTAAAAATAGAACTACCCTGTAATCGGGCAATCCCACTTCTGGGTATACACAACAGAGCTGAAAGTAGGGTCTGGAAGAGAGGTTGCACACCCATGTTCATAGTAGCACTATTCACAGTGCGAAAATCTGGAAGCAACTCAAGTATCCACAGATGGAAGAATGGAGAAACAAAATGTGTTATATCCATACAATGGAATATTATTCATCCTTTTAAAAAAATGGCAGCAGATTCTGACATGCTACGACATGGATGAACCTTAAGGATGTTATGCTCTGTGAAATTAGCCAGTCACAAATATTATATGGTTTCATTTCGATGAGGTACCTAGAGCAGTCAAAATCATAGGGACAGAAATTAGAAGGGTGGTTGCTCAGGCTGGTGTGGGGGAGAAATTGGGAGTTACTGTTTAATGAGTATAGAGTTTCAGAAAGTTTTGCAAGATGAGTTATGGAGAGGGATGGTGGTGACGGTTGTACAACTATGAATGTACACAACACGAATGAATTAAACACTAAACATGGTAAGGATGGTAGACTTTATGTGTATTTTACCACAGTTACTAGAATGGAAGTCTAGATCATCAGAGTGGCTGGTACTGTCTGTACCAGGCATCTTGATTCCAAGGCGTTAGCAATGCCACAACAGGAGAGGATGCCACTTAGGGAAAAAGCCAGCTCTCTCCACTCCTGTGACCCAGAAATGCCAGCTTGCTTTCCATGACTCTCTCTCCACTGTGACAGGCAAAACGCAACTGAATGTCTGGCTCGTGAAGATAGGACTTAGTCACCTGCAGTGAGTGACCTGTTTCAAGGTCAGGGTAGATGACTGCTCTGTTTACATGACAAGGCACTGCTAATTCTGAAATTTTATTCCCAGTTCTCTTTTCATAAACATTGTACCCTCCTGCACAGCTCTGGGTGACAGAGCCTGTATTCTTTTGCTGGGGCTGCCGTCACAAAGTACCACAAACTGGGCAGCATAACCAGGAGAAATTTCCTGGTTCCCAGTTCTGGAGCGCAGACGTCCCAGGAATAAGGCGTCTGCAGGGTTGGTTCCTTTTGAGGGCCGTGAGAGAGAATGTGTTTCATGTCTCTTGCCACCTTCTGGTGGCTTGCTGGCAATCTTCAGCACTTTGGGGCCCACAGAAGCAGCATCCTGATTATCTCTGCCTTCATCTTCATGTGGCGTTCTCCCTGTGTCTATGTCTGTGTCCAATTTCTTCATTTTATAAGGACACCAGTCGTATTGCATCAGGGGCCCACGCGGATCCAGTATGACCTCATCTTAACTAACGGAATCTGCAATGGGCCTATTTCTAAATAAGGTCACATTCTGAGGTACTGGGGCTTAGGACTTCAACATATTGATTTTGTGGGGACACAATTCAACCCATAACAGAATGGGTGGATGGAGGATGCTGAAGCCTCCCGGGGCACCGTCTGAGAATTTGGAACTTGCTTCTGGAGTCCACAGCCCTTCCCATTAACTTGCTCCCTCTCTAGGAACCATGTCTCCCACACTTAACTCCATAAAAGGCGCTTACACTTCTAGCTACTTCACCACTGCCACACTCAATGTGACTTTGAAGTTCCTCATCCACTTTGTAGATTGTCTTCGGCCCTTACTTTTTCTTCCCCACTCAGACCGGCCCTTTTGGCCATGAAAGAGCCAATCTGTACCTCCACCAATAAAAGCGATAAAACGGCCCCTTAACTAATTCTGATGCAAAGTATGTAGTAACCAGCTTTGAAATTAGTTTCTAGATGAGATTTATTTCAGGAACATCTATGAATTTTAATGACTGCTCTCTCATTGTTATCCAGCAGCAGAGTTAGTGAAGTGTGGTCTGAGCAGCTCAGCAAATACTGAATGGAGTGCCTGGGATGCAGCCAGCAGAGCCCTGTTTGTGCCCAAGCACGGAATCAGCAAACTGACTGCTCCCCGGGGTGCAGGGTGTGCAGTCACTGGCTCCGTTGTGATCCAAGGGCTGGGCTTGCCCATGTGTATTACATCATTGAATCTTCACCAGTATACACTCGGATACATATTTATGTTCCCTTTTGACAAAAGAGGAAGCTGAGGCACAGACTGTAAGAGGCAACATGTAAGAGGCAAAACGGAGATTCAGATCCTGGTTTGCCCTCCAAGCACTATCTCTGAGATAGCTTGCCTAGCAGATAAATCTCACCTCCCCTGAACTCTGTTCCCAAAGGTCCACCTTAAAATGCTACGGGGGGATTCAAGACCATTCTATTCCTACAGGAGGCTTTTTTGAGGGGTTTGCTGAGGTGGGAGTGGGGCTAAGTGCACCTAGGGTGAAGGTTGTTCTATTTCAACACAATTTAGCAGAATTTATAAGCAATACTCCGCCCATTCTGTGTTAATCAAACTGAATATAGTGTTATCTACTTTTTAAAAAATGCACCTGAGAAATTTTTTTTTCTTGCTTGGTTTTTCCAAATATCAGTTAGGCTAGTTAGCTCAAGAAAGAAAGGCCCTGTTATCTAACACAGTATGTTACAGCAAGCACTATATCCATATAAATATCTATTTTTTTCCTGTCATTCTTAGAACTTCAACTTCTCCTGATCCTTAAAAATGTCTGGTTTAGATTAATATTGGTGAACATTGATGGGTTTTAACAAGGAAACGACTGGAAGCATTTCCACTTACTAAAGTTTATTAAGTACAAAGAAATTAATCTGCAGAAGGAGACATCAATAAAAATAAAATACAGGTGAAACATTGGAGGAGTCACAGACTGCAGTGTCAGTGAGAATATATGACAATGGCGGGGACTCTATGACTCAGATGTCTCTAAGTATGAGTTTACAGTCAAGGGGTTAAACCTTTACACCGCCAAAGGAACTCAGTGCACCAGCATGAGCTCCAAGGGTTGTGAATTCAGTGATAGGTCTCAAGGGGAGATGGGATGCCACATTCCTGAGATTTCTCCCTAATTGCCATTTTTGGTTTCTGCTCCTTCCTCCCCTCTGTCCTTTTTTTTTTTTTTTTTTTGAATTAGGGTCTCGCTCTGTTGCCCAGGCTGGAGTGCAGTAGCACCATCTCAGCTCACTGCAACCTCCGCCTCCAGGGTTCAAGTGATTCTTGTGCCTGAGCCTCCCAAATTGCTGGGATTACAGGTGTGAGCCACCACGCCCAGCTATTTTTTTGTATTTGAGTAGAGACAGGGTTTCACCATGTTGGCCAGGCTGGCCTTGAACTCCTGACCTCAAGTAATCCACCCACCTCGGCCTCCCAAAGTGCTGGGATTACATGCGTGAGCCACTGCTCCCGGCCCCCTCTGTCCTTAAATAGTGTTATTTTAATTTCCATCCCAGCCACAGGGGACACGAATGCCTAAACACCTCATTAGGGCAGGCAGTCTACTCTGAAGGTGGAATTGCCTTTGTTTAGGGTCTTCTTAATCAGGATCATTAAAACTTTTATAATTATTTTATACAACTGTGAGGGCGGTGGAGTGGACAATGTTATAATAATACATTCTGGCTTTTTGGAAATCTTCCAGAACCAATAAAACAAATTAGTTATGCCCAGAGCTGATGACCTGCAAAAACTTCTTTTCTATTGATTTAGCTGTTACAGTTTTGGCTTGATTCATTCCCCCAGAGACGGGAATTTGACCCTGGCTCACTTGCTTCCATCTGGAATGAGAAAGCACAGCACTGCGGCAGGACACCACCTGGGTCTTTACTCCAGACAACAGTGGGGCAGATGCAGTCATGTTTGTCCACACCCTCCTGACCGGCTGCCTTTCTGGATGGCTTGGTCTGGACACGATATCCTTCGGGGGTGAATGTGTGTGTGGGGTGTTGCAAAGCAAATTTCTTTTTCACTGGCTTCCCTCCCCTCCCTGCCTGATTTCCTTTAAAGGGCAGCTATTTTGAGCACAGCCCAGGGGATCAGTCTGTTTCCTTCTATTTTTTCTCCTTCCTCTGTCACAGTCTTCCCCGACCAAGGATGGGGAACAACAGGGATCAGGCACACACTTCCCCACCCTGCAGGATCAAGAAGAGGGAGTGAAGAGCAGGCCCAGCCCGGCCTGCCCTTTTCCATATTCAGAGTGGCTGAGCTTGCACACATCTCCCCACGGACAGGCGCTCACCACAAGGGGATGAATGTGGAGTTGTCAGGCAGGGTTCTCCTTTAGCTCAGAAGGGAGCTAGGTTTTGTCCGATGGGTGGCTCCAAGGGTCCTAAGAAGGGGGCGGTGAGGCACCAGGTATTTGTGGCAGGTATTTCACACGATGTTTCATTCTACACTTTTTCATGTCATATTTTCCATGAAGTCCACACTTGAAGCCAGGGCAGAAGGGGAGACCTCTGAGATACAATGGGTAGTTTAGCATAATGATGAGTTGTGTATGTTTTTAATCTGCAGGGAAGAAATAGCAAAATCTCGTAAAGCTGGCTACCGGGATGGGACTGGGAACTTGGAGGGAACAGAAGGAAAGTGACGGAGACTTGGGCACTAGGGACACTGTAAACAGTAGGAGCATTGGCTACTTGGAGGATTATTCAGTTACAAAAGGGGCCCTGTGGTCGGCATCTGAGGGGCCAAGCCCACTCTTGCCTTTACTTTGTGATATGTTTACATTAAGCAGAAAAAAAAAAAAATCCCTGTACTGCAAAATGAAAGCGAGACATGGCATCTCGTTCCCTGGAGGCTGCGCGGCACTGTCTGGGTGTGGGGAACACACTATTTCCTCTGAGCTGCGTCATTGATAAGGCATTGTTTGGTTTGATTTTGCAGTTAGTGTGATGAGAATATAAAATCATGCCAATAAGAAGCCGTTGTGGATATTTATAACTTTGGGGCTACCTGCAAACGAAGGACTCTCTACAAACGGTTCAGAATCTAGGAAGGGCCAGCCTGCAAGCGTATTCACAGTCATGGAGTGGGCACTAGGTGGAGGGACAGGGCTCTATCTGAGCTGACAGACAAATGCCAAGATGCAGTGTAAAAAACGGAAAAATGAGGGGTGTTTTAAAAAATATTACTGAAATAAAAGTCCATTAAAATACTGCTTTAAAGCCCGTGCAAACCACATATTTACAATAAATAAATTCTCAATTCCAAGCCTGTATGCCAACTGAATTACAGCTTGAGCATGGAGTGGGCGGGGTCTGACATGTTCTGCAACCTGGAACCCCAGGACCTTGGCTTCATCTGTCTTCTCACCGAAGAGTCTTCAGAGATAACTGTGGAAACGTAACAGAACATTACCAGGTGGAGTTAGAAGACTCTTGCACACGAAAGCCCTCCTCCTCCACCTCCCCCAAACAGGCTGGGCACCGCAGCTTCTCATTCATGCAAGGCTGTCAAGTTTGGGGAGATGCTTATGCAAAGAGCTGCTTTTTACCCAACGGGCTGCGGGTGGAAATGTGATGAAATGGGATATGTAGTTGATGGTATGTGAGGACCTAATACTGTCTTATAAGCATTTATAGAACCGATCATCAGCAATTCACTTGACAGAAAGCTCAGGGAAATCAAAAAACATGCTGAAGATCCCAAGTCAAGGCAGTGGAAAAGCAAGAAACAGATTTAGGCATTCAGACTTCCAGCCCAGGGCTCCCACCCATGCACTGACCACTCTATCCATGCAAAAGAGCAGTCCCTGGGGTATTGTTTGCAATGTCTAGTACCCAGTGATTTCTCTGGGTGATTGTTTTGTGTCTCACTGCAATGAAAATGAATTAAGATGGTATCCAGTGAGATATAAGGATCTTTTTGACTGTGGAACGCCCAAAGGAGACATTACAATCCACCTTGACTAGACTGGCAGGCGGAGATCAAAACCACCAGACTCAGGTGATCTGGGTGCACGCCTGCCATGAAGCTGGGAACCAGATCCTGCACAATGTCTGACACATTGGTAGTGAGGAGGATTCTTGTCCCTGGAGATTCTAACATGCCAGGAAAAGCAGTGAGGCCTTATGGAAGAAGCACTGGACAAGAGGTCAGAAGGTCTGGGCATTGTGACATGGGCAAGTTCTTCAAATTTCTAGAGCAGTTTTCTATAAAAATGGCATTAAAGGTATCTCTCCAGCTTCCATCACAGGGTTATTAAAAGGACTAGATGATATAACTTATGCAAGCTAACTGAAAAATGTAAAGAGCCGTACAAATATGAAAGAACATGATTATGATTATTACTATATTTTCCTGATGACGGGAATAGTATAATCATTGTAGAAAACTTGAAAGTTGCACAAATGCAAAAAGAAGAAAGTAGAAGTCAGCCATAGTCTTCCAGAGTGAATGCCTATTAACGTTTTTTCTCCATTTTTATTGTGGTAAAATATAAATAACATAAAATTTACACTAGTAACTTTTTTTTGGGGCGGGGGGGGACAGAGTTTCACTCTTGTTGCCCAGGCTGGAATGCAATGGTATGATCTCGGCTCACTGCAACCTCTGCCCATGGGTTCAAGCAATTCTCCTGCCTCAGCCTCCCAGGTAGCTGATATTACAGGCATGCGCCACCATGCCTGGCTAATTTTGTATTTTTAGTAGAGATGGGGTTTCTCCATGTTGGTCAGGCTGGTCTCGAACTCCCAATCTCAGGTGATCCAACTGCCTTGGCCTCCCAAAGTGCTAGGATTACAAGCATGAGCCACCACACCCAGCTGACTAGTAATCATTTTTAAGTGTCTAATTTAGGAGTATTAAATACATTCATAATGTTGCGCAACCAATCATCAGTACCCACTTTTGTTTAACTCTTTTCATCTTGTAAAACTGAGACTCTGTACCCATTAAACAATACCTCTCAATTTTCTTTTTCCCTCTAATCTCTGGCAAGCACCAGTCTACTTTCTGTCTCTACTACCGTAAGTACTTATGTAAATGGAAGCATATAGTGTTTGTCTTTTGTGTGTGGCTTATTTCACTTAGAATAATGTTCTCAAAGTTCATCCATATTGAAGCATATTTTAGAACTTCCTACTTTTTAAGCTGGATAATATTCCACTGTACATGTGTATATCACATTTTGTTTATCCATTCATTTATCTATGATACTTGAGTTGCTTCTATATTTTATTTATTTTATTTTACTTTTCCAAGTTCAGGTCAGATGGGTAATGTGCCAAGGTTGTAACAAGGTTCAGAGATGGCACATCTCACATATGCACATGAATACCCAATCATTGCGCTCATGAACTACAAAAGATCAAGCTGCTTCTACATTTTAGCTACTGTAAATAATGCTGCTATGAACATGGGTGTACAAATACCTCTTCCAGGCTCTGCTTTAGATTCTTTTGGGTATATACCCAGAAGTGGAAGTGCCAGATCATATGGTAATTCTGTTTTTTATTTTTTGAGGAACTGCCATACTGTTTTCCACAGCAGCTGTACCATTTCACATTCTCACCAACAGTGCATAAGGGTTCCATTTTCTCCACATCTTTGCCACCACTTGTAATTTTGTTTTGTTTTGATAGCAGACATCTTGATGTGTATGAGGTGTTGCCTCATTGTAATTTTGATTTGTATTTCTCTAATGATTAGTGATGCTGAGCAACTTTTCCTATGCTCATTGGCCATTTGTTTATCTTCTTTGGAGAAATGTCTATTCAAGTCCACTGCTCATTTTTAAATTACGTTATTTGTTTTCTTGTTGTTGAGTTTCATAAGTTCTCTACATATTATGGATATTAATCTCTTATCAGATATATGATATGCAAATATATCCTCCCATTCTGTGGGTTGCCTTTTCTTTTTTATATTGTCTTTGATATGCAAATTTTAAAGATTTTCACGAAGTCCAGTTTGCTTATTTTTTCTTCTGTTGCCTATGTCTTTAGTGTCATATCCAAGAAATCACTGTCAAATCTAATGTCATGAAGCTTTTGCCCTGTGTTTTCTCCTAAGAGTTTTACAGTTTCGTGTCCTACATTTAGGTCTTTGATTCATTTTGAGTAAATTTTTGCATATGGTATTAGTAGGGGTCCAACTTCATTCTTCTACATGGGGATGTCCAGTGTTCCTAGCATCATTTGTTGAAAATACTACCCTTTTCCTATTGAATGGTCTTGGCATGCTTGTTAAAATCATTTGACCATATATGCAAGGGTTTATTTCTTTTTATTCTATTTATTTATTGCTTTTTATTCTATCCCATTGGTCTATATGTCTGTCTTTACACCAGTACCACACTGTTTCAATTATTATAGTTTTGAAATAGGAAGTATGAGTCCCCTAGATTCTTCTTCTTTTTCAAGATTGTTGTGGCTATCTCAAGGAGTTCCTTGAGATTCCATATGAATTTTAGGATTCTTCTTTTAGGATTCTGGGTTTTTCTATTTCTGAAGACAATGTCATTGAGATTTTGGTAGGGTTTATACTGAATCTGTAGATTGCTTTGGGTAATATTGACATCTTAACAATATTAAGTCTTCTAACCCATGAACATGGGATGTGTTTGCATTTATTTATGTCTTATTTAATTTATTTCAGCCGTGTTTTATAGTTTTCATTATACAAGTCTTTCACCTCTTTGGTTAACTGCTAAGTATTTCATTCTTTTCTACGCTATTATAAATGGAATTGTTCCTGTAATTTTCTTTTCAGATTGCTCATTGTTAGTATGTAGAAATACAACCGTATTTTTGTATATTGACTTCATATCCTGCTACTTTGCTGAGTATTTCTAACAGCTTTTTTCTGGTGAAATCTTTAGGGTTTTCTACATATAACAACATATCATCTGCAAACAGAGATAATTTTACTTCTTGCTTTCCAATTTGGATGCCTTTTATTTTTTTTGTTGCCCAA